AAAGCAGGTCTAACGCCAACGTTGCTGGTGGAGGCACCCGCAACACTGACTGGTGGCCTGATCAGTTGAACCTGGCCATTCTTCGCCAGCATGCTCCAGCATCCAACCCGTACGAGCGGGACTTCGACTACACCGCCGCTTTTAACAGCCTCGACTACTATGCCGTCAAGAAAGATCTTCATGCCTTGATGACCGACTCGCAAGACTGGTGGCCTGCTGATTTCGGTCACTATGGCGGCTTGTTCATCCGCATGGCTTGGCACAGTGCCGGTACCTACCGGGTCTTCGATGGCCGCGGTGGTGGTGGTCAGGGTCAACAACGGTTCGCTCCTCTCAACAGCTGGCCTGACAATGCTAGCTTGGACAAGGCTCGTCGCTTGCTGTGGCCCATCAAGCAGAAGTACGGAGCAAAGATTTCCTGGGCGGACTTGATGCTGCTGGCCGGCAATGTAGCCCTGGAGTCGATGGGCTTCAAGACATATGGATTTTCCGGTGGTCGTGCAGACACATGGGAGGCAGACGAGTCGGTCTACTGGGGAGGAGAGTCAACCTGGATGGGTAACGACGTACGTTACTCCGATGGCTTCCCGGGAGTCACCAAGCATGGTGCGCTCTCTGGGGACGAACCACCCCATCGCAACATTCACACCCGCGATCTGGAGAAGCCGCTGGCTGCATCGCACATGGGTTTGATCTACGTTAATCCCGAGGGTCCCGATGGCAACCCAGACCCGGTTGCCGCCGCGCGCGACATCCGCACCACCTTCGGTCGCATGGGAATGAACGACGAAGAGACGGTCGCTCTGATCGCTGGTGGCCACAGTTTTGGCAAGACACACGGTGCCGCTCCATCGGATAATGTCGATGTTGAACCCGCTGCTGCTGGTCTCGAAAACCAAGGGTTGGGCTGGTCCAACCGCTACCAGTCCGGCAAAGGGCCACACGCTATCACCAGCGGTATCGAAGTGACCTGGACCAAGACTCCCACCAAGTGGAGCCATGCGTTCCTCGAATACTTGTTCCGCTTCGACTGGGAACTCACCAAGAGTCCTGCGGGCGCCAACCAGTGGCAGGCCAAGAACACCGAGGCCATCATTCCCGATGCCTATGACCCCTCCAAGAAGCACCTGCCTAAGATGCTGACCACCGATTTGTCGCTCCGTTACGATCCCACCTACGAGAAGATCTCGCGGCGCTTCTTGGAGAACCCTGACCAGTTCGCCGATGCTTTCTCTCGTGCTTGGTTCAAGCTTCTCCACCGTGACATGGGTCCCCGAACCCGGTACATTGGGCCCGAGGCACCAACCGAGGATCTGATCTGGCAGGACCCCATCCCGGCTGTCAACCACACTCTGGTTGATGCGAACGACATCGCTGCTTTGAAGCGCACTATTCTCGACACTGGACTGGACAAGTCCAAGTTTGTTTCCACCGCCTGGGCTTCTGCATCGACCTTCCGCGGTACCGACAAGCGCGGTGGTGCGAACGGTGCCCGCATCCGCCTGACACCACAGCGCCAGTGGGAGGTCAACAACCAGCCATGGCTGGAGGAGACCTTGTCCGCGCTCGAGAAGATTCAGAAGGACTTTAACGACCGGAATTGCTCAACTGGTAAGAAGATCTCCCTCGCCGATCTCATCGTCCTGGCTGGTTGCGCGGCTATTGAAAAGGCTGCCCAAGAGGCCGGCCAATCCATCACCGTTCCCTTCACCCCCGGCCGTATGGACGCCAGTCAAGAGCAGACCGAGGTGGAATCTTTCTCTCACCTCGAGCCTGTGGCTGATGGATTCCGCAACTATGGAAAGTCCTCGTCTCGGGTGCGCGCCGAACACTATCTCGTCGACAAGGCACACCTGTTGACGCTCACTGCGCCCGAGATGACCGTCCTGGTGGGTGGCCTGCGCGTCCTGAACACCAACTACGATGGATCGAAGCATGGTGTCTTCACCTCCACTCCTGGTCGCTTGACAAATGAATTTTTCACCAACGTCCTTGACATGAACACGGCCTGGAAGGCTAAGGATGGTGGTCGCGATCTGTACGAGGGTACGGATCGTAAGACGGGTCAGCCCAAGTGGACGGCGACTCGGGCGGATCTGGTCTTTGGCTCGCATGCTGAGCTTCGCGCTCTGGCTGAGGTCTATGGAAGCTCGGATGGACAGGAAAAGTTTGTCAAAGACTTTGTCACCGCTTGGGATAAGGTCATGAATCTGGACCGGTTTGACCTGAAGACCTCGAGTATTGCACGCTCCAAGCTGTGAATAGTGCTTGCATCCGTTCAAATTGATTTAGTTAGCATGAGTAATGAAATAGTTGATTAATGACACTACTTGGATCTCACCGTTATTAATTGGTCAAACATACCTTATGCAATGATGAATCTAATGTAAACGAATGCCATGTAAAGTTACTTCCATCTTAAGGTTGCACAGTTGCGCCTTCCTACCGATACTCTGTTGTCCCGGCGGGTTTTCAATCGGGCAGGTCACAAGCCACTCTCGGGTTATATTGTCGAGCTGTCGAGCCGTCAAGAGACTGACCTGGCCGGCCTGTTGAGACAAAGCTCGGATTTCTTGATCTCAGCAGATGATATCAACCTCAAAAGCTATGACTCTCCATCTCCTTATTCTACTCCTCATCTCCCTCTTCGCAGCAGCCTTCTCCGTCTCGGAAGTGGACGTTGCAATCATCGGCGCAGGCTTATCCGGCCTCTCCGCAGCAAAAGACATCGGCGCCGCTGGTAAAACCTTTGCCATACTTGAAGCCCGCAATCGTGTCGGAGGTCGTGTCCTGAATGTCGAACTTCCTGACGGTATTGTCGAGGAAGTTGGGGCCGAGTTTGTGGGTCCAACGCAGGACCGAGTCCTAGCGCTTGCAGCTGAACTGGGGCTAGTTACCTATCCAACCTATAACACAGGAAATTGCACTTTTCTGAGAAACGGTACAATTACCAATTATACATGTGAATTGGGTAGTGCTAGTCTCCCGCCCTTAGCCACTGAGGCTTTGATCGAGGTGGGAACACTCCAGCAGCAGCTCAATGCCCTCGCCGCCGAAATCGATGTGCGGGCACCATGGGACCATCCTAACGCCTCTATGTGGGATACCATGACTCTGGGGACCTTCTTCGCCTCGCAGCTTACATTGTCTGATGCGAAGTTTCTCCTCGATACATTCGTTACTGGGGTTCTCGCTACCGAGACTAATGAGCCCTCGCTGCTGTATACGCTCGCTTATATCGCGGCAAGTGGGAATGAGACGGAGGTGGGAACTCTGGATCGGCTTATTGATGTGGTTGGAGGTGCTCAGGAGAGTAGGATAGTTGGCGGGACCCAGCTGATAGCGTTGAGGTTGGCGGATAAACTGGGAACAGAGAACATCCACCTCCGCAGCCCGGTCCAAAGAGTCCAACTTCACGATGGACGATACATGATCATCTCGGATGCGACCCAGATCATAGCAAAGCGAGTCATCGTCGCAATGTCCCCTCCCATGGCCGCACGCATCTCCTACGACCCACCTCTCCCCCCAGCACGAGATCAACTCACTCAGCGTATGGGCATGGGGTCAATAGGCAAAGCAATCGCCATCTATCCAACCCCTTGGTGGCGTGAGCAGGGGCTGAATGCGCAAGCACTTGCCGATACCGGCATCATCCACATAACGTTCGACAACACCCCGGTTGATGAATCCGTTGGTGCTATCATGGGGTTCATCGTTGGTGATGACATGAGACTAGTGGACAAGATGAACCAGACAGAGATTGAAGCAGCAGTTGTTGACAGCTTCGTGGGTATGTTTGGTCTACAAGCCGCGCATCCTGACCATGTGATTGTTCAGCGCTGGGACTGGGAGGAATATTCCCGCGGTGGACCAGTCGCTTTTGCGCCTCCTAGTGTGCTCACTGATTATGGTGAGTATTTGAGGGAGTCTGTGGGTGGGATTTACTTTGCTGGTACGGAGGCGTCATACTATTGGACTGGGTATATGGATGGGGCTGTTCGGTCGGGAGAACATGTGGCGGCGGAGGTGTTGAGATCGTTGGAGTGACCAGTTGTTCTCAGTTCCTTTGTTCAGAGGATATTGGGGTATTATTATTATAGGCAAGGGAGTCGTCTATATGGTCGTGGCGACGAATGGCAGTTGCTGTTTTCATAACTTCATGGTAGTTTCATGGAACAGTCAAGTGGTGGTCGACCCCGTCCGCAGTAGTATTATGAACTTCGTCTGCTCAGTTTATATATTGCCCTAATAGTACTGAAACCCTGAACCGCACGCATACTATCTACTAACTCTCTCAAACAATCTCCAATTCTATTAGGACCGAAGATATATATTGTTGAGACATCTATCTGAGTTACCCCTGCTGCTTGGTGGCTATAGTGTCGATATATCGGTTTGGTCTACTTGGCGAATGTTCCAACATATATTGCTACATCATGCGAGATAACCGCAACCAGTCGTTCTGACAACCGAGTCGCATGACTAGAGGACTATGGGAGACTACTCCGAGCAAGTCCAGGAACCTAGAAAATCACCCCTGTGAACTGAACAGAGTCCGCAAGGTTCTGGTTTAATCTCATTGCTCCGGCGATCTGTTCGATGGGCCGCCAGCTGGCCATTTTGATAGCCCGGGCGGCTCGCTGTCAAATCATAGCGAAAGAAGGCCTGCCAGACCCACCGCAAACAAAAGCACTGATGCCCCACCATATATCAGCTCGGCAGCTGAGCTGAAAGTTGAGCAGTCATGTCTCTTGCGAGTTCTTCACATCCTTTTCCCCCTCTATTTGACCACCTCGCACAGAGGATCCTCTCCTCTATGTATCGGACACTGCTTGGTTCCCGAACTGTGAAAGCAAACCGTTTTAAACAAAGACAATGCGCTTGATACACGCCACAACCCTCGGGTTGGAGGAATTTGTGGGCCAGAATATACCCAGGTACGCCATCCTGTCTCATACCTGAGGAGAAGATGAAGTCACTTTCCAGGACATGCAGACGCCAACTGCCACCAAGAAATTGGGGTACGCCAAAATCAAGCATTCGTGTGAACGGGCTCTGCAATATGGCCTAGGCTATGTATGGGTGGATAGATGCTGCATAGATTAAGACCAGCAGTTCCGAGCTTTCTGAAGCCATCAACTTTATGATGGCATGGTACGCCAAGTCTAAGATATGCTATGCTCACTTAGCAGATGTACCTCCAATTACCGATCAAGGGCTTGATGAAGCTGCCTTTTCGCGGAGTCGATGGTTCACTCGAGGGTGGACCCTTCAGGAGCTTATTGCGCCATGTCATTTGCTATTCCTGGCTCAAGATTGGTCAGACATATACGAGAGGGGGACTTTAGCTGGGCTTATAAGTGACATCACTGGCATTAGTCACTCCTTTCTACAAGTGAGGCTGTACAGTGAAAACAGTGAAAGTCTCAAATTCGAGCTTATATCAACAAGCATCGCGGAACGAATGAGCTGGGCATCGAACCGTGAAACAAGCCGAATAGAGGACATGGCATATTCTTTGCTGGGTATTTTACAAGTCAGCATGCCCCTCTTGTATGGAGAAGGATCTGCTGCCTTTCGAAGATTACAAGAAGAAATCATCAAATATTCCGACGATCAGTCATTGTTTGCGTGGAGCTACAGAGCACCAGAACAGGATTTGAGTCATAAACGACCTATACGTCGGTCATTGCTCGAGGGAATAGTTTCCTTCTTCATAGTCTTTGAAACTTCTCCAGAATGTTCTGGAGCAATGCAAACAGACGACTCAAACATCTCGGGAATACTCGCTGAGTCCCCAGCGGCATTTCGAGGTTGTGGCGACATAGTTCTATGCGACGTCAAAAAGCCGACCCCTCCTTTTCGATGACCAATAAGGCCTAAGCATAGAACTGCCACTTCTTGAGCTCTCAGACGGCTGGTTCGTTTTCCTTCAGTGCCAAACGAAGAGAGATCCTACTAGGCTAATAGCGGTGCCATCAGAGAAGATAGAGAAGATAGACAATACCTATTGGCGATCCCAGACGTGGGAACTACGTGGCCGATCATGCAGCCTGGCTTAGATGGCCCCGCTAACAGCTTTATGTTTTCCCTGATACTGATGCGACCTATGCAGGAACTGTAAATCGCCCATGGTATTCTATCTTTATTAGGGGTCTTCCGCCCAATCTTGGGATAGTGAACATACTCCCATCTAATCCTGGCGAGCAATCTGATTCGAGGGTCGTCTTCAAAAGAACCATGAGAGATTTTAACTTCGACACCGAAGACGTTTTTGTTTGGCTTCAGGACATGGATGACAACCGTCACTCATTCATATTGGATGTTAGAATAGAAAAGCCCAGCTGGAGCTACGACTCCAATTGGACTATCCTCACACCTTATTTGTTCCTTCCTCCTCTAAGTAATGACACGCCAACGTTCGAAGACTTGAAGAACTCAGTGCGAGAGCAGCACTCGGCAACTAAGCCCTCGATCCCATATTACGTTGAAATAACGACACAGATGTTGTCTCAAAGTGCCATTTACGTCATTGATATTGTACCCAAGCTCCTGGACAGGGAACAAACTAGTCTAGAAATACATGATTCAAGATACTGGATAGGTCTTCTGCACGAGGGTCTCAACCGTGACTTACTCGTGGAGAGCGTTTATCGAAGTTGGCTCGATTACTTGTGTGACAGAGGCATTCACGTTCTTCGACTGCTTGCGCTTTCACCTTGGTTCTTCACTATTCCCATTGACCACTTAGCTAAATTGTGTGTTTCATTGACCATGCCAGTAGTCTCACACATCATTTCCTGAAAAGAATGTTTGACGGCTACCAGCTATCAAGATCATCTAGCAGCTGTCTTTTGAAAGATGCGTCAAACAGTCATGGCTGATAAATTCAGTCTCGCAGCTGTTAGCTCGGCAAGCTATTTACTATTTAGCAATCCTTCTGCTGTACGCAGGATTTGCATCTGGGTTCTGAAGTATTCACGTTCGCGGAGTGTCATGAAGATGTTTTTGTTGTACATCATCTGCAAATGTATTCCACCAAAGACGCCCTTGTCTCTTGCTGGTAAGGAGGAAACATATGGTGAAGATTGAAAACTCAAATTTGTTTACACTCTCATCAATTAAATACTAATGAATCTATATTTTCCGAGCAGACTGCGTAGCTATTATGTACTCATCTTAAATCAAAGATAACCATAACTTCTATATTGTAAGACCTCCATGTATTTAATGATACGAAGATCCCCAGCAACAATGGGTATATCCGTAGAAACAAGTAATTCTATTCATTGCCAGTACTATAGTATAAAAGTTACACCTCACCCTCCGACACCTGTTTATACACCTTCAACTCAACCACACTACCAGCCTGCCTATCCAAAAGATCCCTCTCCGTATCATTCGACCCCCTCTCACCCCCTTCATTCTTTACCCCCCTTGCTTCCCCATCAACAGTATTGGCTCTCATCCTAGTATTAACATGAACCCCCACACCCCCCTCCTTAACCCACTTCCAACTCCAACTCCGTCTCCTCCCAACACTCCAACTCCACGACCCCACCCCACTCCCACTTCCACTTCCCCCCTTCCTGACCCCACCACACCCCACACTCCTCACAAAAACATTAACCCCAGGCAAACACGAACACCACACGGCAACATCCACCTCCAACATAGCAAGCACCCAACAATACCAAGCCTCCCAACTGGCATCATAACTCACATAAAACATCCGATAAATAAACCACACCCTCACCCCAGCCACAACAGCAGCCAAATACCCCAACCCAAACACCACCCCATTGAGCAACAGCTTCTGCCTCAACCTCATCTGCAAGCCCCAGCAAAGCACAGCGGGTAGCGTCGTGGCTACGATATCTTGCAAGAGACTTATAAACGTCGCGGCGATGAGATGAGCAGGTTCATTGTAGCACGTGTATTTGTGCGTGGCGGTATACTCGGGATCGACTTCCATCCAGTAGGCCGAAAAGGGACGACAGGCGACCCAGATCACGATGAAGAAGGCGAGCGTGTAGGCTGCTACGCTGGCGATGCTGATGTAGATGATGTTGAGGAGGCGAGGGGAGATGGTGGTACGGTGGCCCATGCGCCGATAGAAGAGAAGGACCGAGATCTTGGTGAAGCTCGAGGAGAGGATGTAGAAGAGCTCTTGTGCGATGGCGAGTTTGCGTGATTGGAGAAGTTGGGGAAGTGTGTTGTCCCAGACGTGGTGGTTTTCGCCGTATTTGTAGGCTCCTGGGTGGTTGGTTAGTACGGGTGAGTTGATGAGGAGTGATTTGGGTACCGAGGGGGAAGCTGATGTTGAGGCCTATGGCTGGGATCTGGGGGTTGTTAGAAGGTATTGGGTTGTGATTGGGGGACGCCTGTCTTACTAGTGCTAATGCGATGAATATGTCGTCTAGTTTACCCTGTCGCTGAATTACACAGCGAGCCCATAATCGAAGGATGACTGCTGTGACGGCGATGGATCCGAAGATAACTGGAAGCACAATAGACGCTGCCCCATGGGTTTCCGGGTTGATGGTGTTGCGTGCAGGCCATGATTCCATGACCGAAAGTGGTGGATGCAGCCCCCCTGGCATGTTGAATGGAATGAATAGAACTGACAGGATGATGACCTGTAGTCAAGCTCTACGTGCAACAAACCAGGAAACGCATCCTTTACATACCTGCCACAGCAAGCATAATATAAGCTCCAGTGTCTGTATATTTAGCTCAACGCGCAAAAAGATGACATACACAAAACAAGGCTCCCTATTAGGGATGCAAGCAGGAAATGACACGAAAAAATTCTCTGAATCAATTTAACCATGACACCAATGACTAGATGGAGCCAATAAGGCCCCGAAGCTCAAAAATGGGACAGTCCGTTGTGGGGCGGCAACCCTAAATTGGCCGTCGATCTGGGGCGTTTCAGGTGAAACGCCCACACAAAGAAGAGGTGGTAGTCCTGGCACCTGCTGTCAACTGGATCAACCTGCAGGTGGATGTCGCAGTGGCGTGAGGGCAGTAGACGTATCAATATTTCATCCCGGCTTGTGGTCTTCAGTCCCGGATTGATTGCACGGGCCGGTTTTGACGTTGATGGATCAACAGGCACCTTCAAGATTCACTCTTTATCTTGCTTCTTGTGGTGACCGTCCGTAGACATTATTCGCCGGATATGGTTCCAGGACGTTGATCAAATCACGATGTCCACAGTAACTTTAATGGCTTTACCGGCCTTGCTTGGAGCTTTGATCGCACTTTAGTTTCGGCCGAAGGGGCTTGGTCACGTCCCCACTAGCATGATCCCAATTCGATGACTTAAAAAAAATTTAAATTGCATTCTTCGCTAACTGCCAATAATATGATTTAATTCGTAAGTCACGTCCATGTTACGGGTGTGAAGATGGTTCATTATTGGAGGGTGTTCATATTAGCTCCCCGCCACTTCCCTCTGTCGGAGTGCCATAGGGCCAATCTCTGAACAAAAACCTGGATCGAGTCTATTCCGACCGAGCGGCAAAAGCCTCAAGTCAAATTTTTGTCTGGAAGTGTGGAGCCTTTCGGCATGTTATGGCAGGCCTTGCAGTTACTGCTCCGGATATGACAAGTTATCAGGCCGGGTACCAGGCGAGTCATAGCTGCCAAGCCCTCTTTCACTGAGACATGCTTTACCTGAGTACTCCTTTGGGCAAGACGAAAGCCAACTGCACATTTTGTGTGAATTTCAACTGGAAAAGGTCGTTCGGGTCTAAAAGCTAACATGGCTGCGCTAGCCCTGCAGGCGTCAGGAGAAATACCCGACCGTGCCTGTCCGGGACTGCGTGCCATCAGACTGGCATGCATTCATCCTCATCTGCAGCTCGTTGTTCCGCCAATCAGAGCTCATTCTGTCTCCGGCAATGCCCTATGAATGTCAAACAGTTCACAGCTTCTATGAAGAGTATTGCATCATGATCCTATGAGTACTGTCCGAACACACGCGGATATTAGCCAAGTCTAAGGCCCTCTGTCAAGATGTTGATGGCTATTATGTCGGAGGCTGCTCCGTGATGAATCAGTCACGCAGCAACATCTGCCCCAAACCTCCTCATAATTAATCTATTCGGCTATTCGGTCCTTTCTCCGGATATATGTCCTCGTCTCTGCATCCACAGAATCAGATCATCCATCACTTCGCAGGTTAAGATTCGTCCGTCTGACCACACAATGCCTTGGTCCGTTCCAGGTCAGGTATAGCATGTCCGTTCGAATCACTAACGCAGGGCCAGCTGCATGTCACGCATGTGCTAACATCGTTGTTTGTAGCATTGTGCCTGAAGAACAGCTCCGGCACTTGAACCTGCTAGTTATATAAGCTTCATGCTCTCCCACATGGATTGACAATCTATCAGTAGCACCAAGGCAATCAGCAGTCACAATGTGGCGTACACTCACAGCCCTGGCAGCAGGCTACTTGATTGACTCGGTCCAGGCAGCCGATTCTCAGGAATATACCTGGAAGAATGTAGTCACAGGAGGTATGATTTATTTTTCGGCATAGGGAATGAACAAGCTAATGTTCCCAGGTGGCGGAGGCTTCACGCCGGGCATCGTGTTCAACCCTTCAGCCAAAGGTGTCGCGTATGCTCGCACCGACATCGGCGGTGCATACCGGTTGAACTCGGATGATACATGGACTCCCTTGATGGACTGGGCCAACAACTCCAATTGGTACGTAAGCCCCTCCTACGGTATGCCCGTGCTCACTGTTCAGGCACGACTGGGGTATTGATGCGATCGCGACTGATCCCGTTGATACCGACCGAGTGTATGTTGCAGTAGGCATGTACACCAACGACTGGGATCCCAATGACGGCTCGATCCTGCGGTCAACCGACCAGGGCGATACCTGGGAGGAGACAAAGCTTCCCTTCAAAGTTGGAGGGAATATGCCCGGTCGGGGCGTTGGCGAAGTATGGCCCATGTCTGTTTCTTGCAAGCATACACTGACCACTGCAGCGACTGGCCGTGGACCCGAACGACAACAGCATCTTGTACTTTGGAGCCCGCAGTGGCAATGGCTTGTGGAAGAGCACGGACTATGGCGCGACATGGTCGAACGTGACTGCCTTTAAGTGGACTGGCACTTATTTCCAAGACTCCAGCTCCACCTACACGTCTGATCCGGTAGGAATTGCCTGGGTCACCTTCGACTCGACCTCAGGGTCCAGTGGCTCTCCGACTCCGCGCATCTTTGTCGGTATGTTAAAGACTCCAGATCCTTCAGGGCAGTTCATTGACAGTAACAGGCGTGGTGGACACTGGAGAATCAGTCTTTGTTTCTGAAGATGCTGGTGAAACTTGTAAGCACTTCTAATTCTCTTTTTCACAAACTTCAACCAACAATCACAGGGGCTTGGGTGTCCGGAGAGCCATCGTATGGCTTCCTCCCCCACAAAGGTGTTCTGTCACCATCCGAGCACACTCTCTATATCTCCTACTCTAACGGCGCCGGCCCGTATGACGGCACCAATGGCACTGTCCACAAATATAACATCACCAGCGGCACCTGGACCGACATCAGCCCGACGTCTATGGCGGACACCTACTATGGCTATGGTGGACTAGCAATCGACCTCCAGGTTCCTGGAACCGTCATGGTAGCAGCTCTCAACTGCTGGTGGCCCGATGAGTTGATCTGGCGTAGTAAAGATTCAGGAACAACTTGGTCACCTATCTGGGCTTGGAATGGCTATCCCAGCATCAACTACTACTACTCGTATGACATCTCCAACGCCCCGTGGCTACAAGACGACACCTCAACGGACGAGTTCCCAGTCCGCGTCGGGTGGATGGTCGAAGCCCTCGCCATTGACCCCTTCGACTCTGACCACTGGCTTTACGGTACTGGCGCGACCATCTACGGTGGCCACGACCTACAGAACTGGGACAGCTCGCATAACGTAACCATCGAGTCCCTCGCCGTAGGCATCGAAGAGATGGCTGTCCTAGGTCTCATTACTCCCCCGGGCGGTCCTGCCCTCCTTTCTGCGGTCGGCG